GACATACACAAGGGGATTGTCAGTGCAGCCTGCAGTGCTAGCAGGCCTCTCACCCATTCCCCCCCTCCTTCACAGCAGATCCTTCCAGCCCAGTCATGGCCCCGCTTAGCAGCAGGGCTGTTTGGCCTTGCACACAGCCTGTGAGGGGCACTCCAGGCTCCCACGCATGGAGGGACGCAGCCCAGTGCGTTGCGGGGGGCTCCCAACAGACAGGCGCATGAAGCAGGTCAGGCCTCTTGCCCAGCTTGTGCCCTTGCACCATCCCCACTGCTGCTGTGGGCTCGGTTATGCCGCCGGTTTGGGGCTCACGGCAAGGTTCCCCCAAGCTGAACAAATTCCCAGTGTTCTCAGTGTTTCTCCTACTTGCAACCTGCTGCGCTTCCTCTTTCCTTTTCCTTTTGAGGCCAACACAGAGACAAGCTCTCCTATCACAGTAAGAAGGACAGCAGATGGTCTTCACCTTGTGCAAATCCTCCTCCCCAAACAACATCGTCGGTCCCAGAAACACCTCAAAGCAGAGAAGGGGAGAGAAGAAGGGAACCGCAGCTATCGGCACCCAACCCTGCAGCTCCTTTACACCCAGGACCTGCTCCTGGCCAGTGCAGGCAGTGCCATGGAGGGAGAGGCCGATAATCAACGGAGCGTGTTGAACCTGCTGGCTGTGTTTGAAGACCACTGGTAAGGAGGGAGAGTCCTGGCACTGCAGGTGCGTTAGGGCTCCATGTGGCGTGATGTTTGGAAGGAAGAAACCTGCCATGGAGGTGGTTTGGAGGCTGTGGAGAAGGTGACTAGGTGATTTGCTATTCTTTAGCACTCAGATCTTTCTCCTGCTGCGGGTCATGGACAGAAGTCTGAAAACCTCAGTGGGATGTGACTGACTTTACTGGAGGTTTCTGTGTCTGGCTCAGGGTTAGGTTGTGACATGCTTGTTCCCTCCATGCTCAGCACCTTTGCAGTCAGCCTGGCTAGGTAACGCTTTTTCCCCTGCTGCTGAGGGAAAAGATTTTGATTTGCAAATATGTAGGCAGAGGTGTTCACTGGGAATTAAATGCTTGAGCAACTGGGAGGATCCAGCCTCAGACACTCCAGTTGTTTGCAGCGATGTGGCTCCTAGGAAAGGGAAGAGAAAAAATCACGTTAAGGGGGAGAGCAAGTTCCTTTTGGGCTGCATGGCAGCCCCATAAAACAGCACCTTCACTTGGAGCATGAGCTGGGACCCACAGACAGCATGTGCCAGGGTCGGAGCGAGGGGATCTGCCTTGCCACTGGTGTAGAAGTAATTCTGAGTTTGGGGTGAGTCATTGTGGTCCATGCATCAGTTTCCCCATCTGTTGAATCGGGATACCGAATCTTGCCTGTGAGGTGCTCTCAGTGAGCCTCAATGATGCTGGGTGGTTGGGCAGATGAGTTTTGTAGCACTTCCTAAAGGTGATCACGTATGAGAATTCCTTCTGCTCTGTGAACTTCACCTGCCCCAGGTTTTGTGCTCTGGATGGCTCCAGAGCAGCACGGTTGTTCCCCTGGTCCCACAGTCGAAATTTGGCCTGTGATATTGTTGCATTGGAACTGTTTGCAGTATTTGATCTGCCTCCATTTTGCTGCTGCAGTGTGTTTGTTGTTTATCATGAAGCGTGAGTTTGATTTAGAGGAAATAAAAGTAACTTAACGTCTTTTGGAGGAAGCTGCAGAACTTGGAAATTATTTTTCTGGAACAGAAAACAGTTTAGCTCAAGTCACTTTTAGCTTCAAAGAGAGAGAAATTCCCTGTTGGATCTTGTCAGTGGGTTTAGGCTGGCACAGGTCTGGGAGGCAGGGAGTGACAGATAAAGCCTCTCTGTCACGTGAAGGCTTATGCCAGCCCGCATGGACAGGAGGGGATGTGTGCATGGCTGTGGACGCACTCCCAAGCTCACAGACATGCACTGATCAGCATGGGGATGGACCTGTCATCCTCTTCAGATGAGTGTCTGCCACTCAAGTCACCTCCTATCCTCAACTTTGCAGCTTTATGCCCAGTTTCATTCCTGTTTTCCCCTCCTCCTCATCTGTCTGCAGGCCACCAGTGGATGTCTTTCCAGTTTCTGCCCAGAGCAATTTAGTGACCAGCTCTTGGATGACAGACAACTCACTCGCTGTCATCTTCACAGCCTGTGCCCTGTGTGGCTTCTCCCCCATGGGGACCTGTTTTCCCTGTCTTTGCCAGAAAAGGGAAGAGAGAAAACCACCAAAAAACTACCCCTCTGCAAAACGACCTGCACAAGCCCTCCTCTTGGCTGACACCTCTTGGCTATTTGGTTTTTACAGCCTCATGCCCAAGGCTTCTGGCTCCCTGCTTTGGCTCTGCAGTGGCAGCAAGCAGAAAGCCAGAGCTGTACCAGCGCCTCAAAGGGAAATAAATAGCTGTGGGGGAGATAAACAGCAGAGTCATGTCTTTCTAGAGCAGGACAGGGATGGACCACATCAGCAGGAGGCACTGGGAGAAGAGGGGCTGGATCCTGGCTCCCTTGGAGGATGTCTGGGCTTTCAGACCCCAGGTTGTATCATCAGGGTCATAGCGGAGCAAACCCCATCAGCCCTGGGGTGCTGCTGTGTCTTACTGTCTTTGCTTGAGGGCGGTGGCTTTAACGTGGGCCTGGGAGCTGTGTGGGCCACACTGCGCTGGGAGAACGGGTGAGCTGATCACGCTGATTCCTCCATGACAGGGCCGGCAAATTTCCCTGGAGAGACAAGCAGCCTCCGCACGGCCAGACTACTGCAACCAGCCAGACCCAGCAGCTTCCAGCATCCCCCACCAGCCAGGGCCAGAGCCTCTCCCAGATGGCTGCCAGGCACCAAGAGGAGCAAGAGAATGAGGAGGAGGAGCAGCAGCAGGGCCAGCGGGGGCTCAGCTTCAAATGCCTCCGTTCTTTCCGACACAAGATCAGTGAGGACAACTGGAGGAGGCAGCAGGACCCAGGCCTCGAGCCTGGCAGCAAGGTAAGCTCTAGAGGTGGCTCAGGTGAGCCTGGCAGGTGCCCATGCTCAGGGAGGGAGTCAGAGTTGCATGGGCTGGATCTGAGCTGAAATCTCTGCTGGACCTGAGCAAGTCCCTGCCCTGCAAGGGCCAGTGCTTGGGGTGACAGAGAAGTGGCACTTTTGCTGATGTTTCAGGCACAAATTCCCCATAGTCAGATAGATCCAAGCAGACCTTGTCTCTTCCAGCTCTGATCCATCCCTGGGGGTCAGATGCACAGCTGGGCTCAGCCAGGTCCAGCCCAGGGCATCCCGAGGGCTATGATGCCCTTTGCCGACTGCAGACACATTTCTGCAGGACTGTGTTCAGAGGCCTTGGTGGAACTGCAGACCATGGGGTTAACCTACCCCACCCTGCCCCACTCCTTAGGATCACTAGCTCTGGGAGAAACAGGCACAGAGAAAGGGTTGAACTAGGAGGAGGTGACCCATGCTTCCTGACAGCCCCCAAACTGCTTTGGTTTCACCGTCATTTTTACCACATGCTTTGTTGAGGTCCTTCCTTTGCCCTCACGTGGAGCGAGGTCCAGTTTGATGTGGGCTGTGAACACTGGGGAACAGAGCTCCATCCCCTTGGGCTGGTGGGGAAAGCTCGCATCACAGCTCGTGAGATTGAGCCCTTCTCCCCATGCAGGAACCAGAGGAAAAGAAAATCGTTCTGGAGCTGCTGGAGACAGAGCAGGCTTACGTCAACCGCCTCCACCTTCTCGACCAGGTGAGCTGGGGAGCAGAGGGGCCCACGCGAGTCTGGGAAGCAACAGCCCTGCTGCCATCTACCTCCACCAGCACTGCACAACCACCCCATGCTGACAAACCAGGCAGGACCACAGCGCAGCTCCACGCTCACCAGTTTTCCTGTGCTCCTTGGCCTGGACTTGGACCCTGTGGCAGTGGCCAGGTTTAGTTCAGGGTATGCACAGGCCAGGGACTGTTTCCTGGAGGTTTTGGAGAGAATGGAGCTGTACAGACAAGAGCAATGTTGGGCTGCTGGTCTTTATGGCTGGAGAATGGGTCTGGCCTCTGCCTTTCCTATACCCCACACCTCCAAGGAGCACCTTCATCCCAGCAAAGCCTTCCATCCTCCCTGCTTCTTTCTTGGAGCCTGGGATTTCCCTCCTGCACAGAGCCAGGCATTTTCACGGGACAATGTGCTAGTGTCAGGGGTCTTCAAGCCTCTTCCTGACCCTTTTTATTCACACCTTCTTTCTTTCAGATTTTCTATACAGAGTTGATGAAAGAAGCCAAAAATGGGAAGACAGTCCCAAAGGAGGTGGTGAAAATGATCTTCTCTAACATCTCCTCCATCTACCAGTTCCATGCCAAGTTCTTCCTGCCAGAGCTGCAGAAGCGCATGGAGGATTGGTGAGCTGCAGGAGGGGAGGGCAGGACGCCTGGGTTGCTTTGCCAGAATGGGGGAACAGTGGTGAATTTGATCTCCCAACAGTACCAGGGGGTTCAGCCTGTTTGCCTCCAAATCTCTTTGTGCTGGAAAGCACTTCCTTAAAACCATCCAGCCCACATCAGGGTATTTCTGAAAAGGGGGGTGACATCTCAGGTGGTTTAGGGGTGTGCATGAATGGCCCAGGATGGGCTGGGGACACTCCCATCCTGGAGAGCAGAAAGTTGTATGGGGATGTAGCAGGTTGCAGTGGTAAAAACCTCCATCCTCCACCGTGCACAAGCTGCCCCTTCGCTTTATCCCTCGCTGTCTGTCTGCCTCGCTGGACTGAGGAAGCTACTGGTCTGCGATTTCCTCCCACAGGAGCTGCAACCCGCGGATTGGGGATGTGATCCAGAAGCTGGCACCGTTCCTCAAGATGTACGGTGAATATGTAAAGAACTTCAACAAGGCTGTGGAGCTCATCACCGTCTGGTCAGAGAAATCCCCACCCTTCCAGGAGCTCATTGCCAACATCCAGGTAACTGGCCACAGCAGGGTAGGGGACTGCAGCAATGCTCCCCAAAATATCCCCGCAAAGGAGAAGCAGCAGAGGGTGGGAGCTGCCTTGGTCACTGTTTCTCTCGCCGTGCATGGTGTCTCTCCCCAGAAGAGAAAGGTCTGCGCCAACCTAACGCTGCAGCACCACATGCTGGAACCCGTGCAGAGGATCCCGCGCTACGAACTCCTCCTGAAAGATTATGTCCGAAAACTAGCGCCTGAGTCCCCAGACAGGGACAATGCAGAGAGTAAGGGCTCCAGCTGGCTCTCCCTGCTGTGGGGAGTGGCAGGGTGGGTTTGTAAGGGAAGTAACAACACCTGATGTTGTACACAGGCATCAGGATACCTGGATTCTCTCACCAGCTGGCCTGTGCCTTTGCATAAACCTCTCAGTCTAACCCTTTTCTAGCAGGGAGAGGGATTAATCTGCCCTTTCAGTGCCTATGGAGGTCAGCGGGGAAGGTGGGTGGTGTTCCAGGATGAGGATGGTCCCTCCAGAGTATCCCCCAGGGAAACCTGCAGTGACCAGGGAGCTATCAGACCCCTACGGATCACACAGCTCCCAGTCCTGCTGGGATGGAGTGACAAACGAGCCGGCTGTCTGTCCCCCCGGGACCCTACCGCCCCACACTTCACACTCCAGCCAGACCCAGACGCTTGTGCAGCGTTCAGGGCCATCCAGGTTGTGTCCAGGGGAGGGCAGCAGCCACCGCACGTGTGGCGTCCCCTTGGAGGAGAGGCCCAGGGGTTTTCTCCCACAGCTCCCCAGCAAATGTTTAACTCTCCTCCCTTTCTCTTCTCGTTGCAGAGGCCCTGGAGATGATTTTCATGGTGGCCAAGCACTCAAATGCAGCTATCGCTGAGATGGTGAGTGCCTGTCCCAGCTGGCAGTGCTTTGCGGCTCGTGGCGTGGTGATTTGCCAGATTTCCTCATGGCTTCATTGCTGTGTGACTCAGCGGAGCACAGCTCTGCGCTCATCAGGACAGGAGCTCTGTGGTTTCAGCAGAGGAGGTTAGACTCCTGCGGTTGATGCCTGATCCCGTCACCCCAAGCCTGGGGAAGCCATGTCTGCAACATCAGCTGTGATGTGACTGGCTGTTCTGAGGCTCGGAGATCAGTTCTGGGATGAGAGAGTTGTGCCACCTCTTCCAGCACTCAGCAGCTTGCCTGGGAGGTGACCCAGGGGTGACAAGATTGTTCCTGCTCAGCCTCCTAGGCAGGTCCCTCTGCCTCCCTCAGGAACGGCTGCAGAACCTCTGGGTGGTCTATCAGCGGCTGGGCCTCGAGGACGACATTGTGGATCCCTCCAATGAGCTGATCAAGGAGGGGCCGATCCAAAAAATCTCCACTCGTAGCAACAGCACATCGGAGAAGTACCTGTTCCTGGTGGGAGCTGGGATGCCCAGAGGAGGGAACAGGGACCAGACAGGGTGGGAGTGGGCAGAGGGGCAGCACAGCCTGGCCAGTGTGTTACTGGGTCATCTCTACACAGAGGGGATGAATTCAGAGCTGGGGGTGTTTGAGCCCCGCTAGTGGCGGGCACCCTGTATAGGGTGTGGTTGGGAACCTGCTCATCCCCTGGGCACAGCAGCCCTTGGGGGATGCCAGGGTCCCAGAGCGCTTTGCCTTTGCAGGGTGGGAGAAGGCTGGGGCAGAAGCAGTCACTTTTTAGGCTGGATTCTTCCCAAGGACCCGCTCAGCCCCAGGGGGGTGAAGGGCCCAAAATCCCAGGGAAGCCCCCAGCTCTGAGCAGGCAGGTGCTAGGCTCCAACCAACCCTCTCCTCCTCCTCCCTGCCCAGTTCAACAACATGCTGCTGTACTGTGTGCCCAAGGTCATCCAGGTGGGTGCTGAGTTCCAGGTCCACCTCCGCATTGACGTGGACGGCATGAAGGTCAGACAGGCACCTTGTCTTTGTGTTTTCCCCAGACCCTGGCTCCTCCAAAATGCACCCATCTCTGGGGTGTGATGTGGCTGCTTGCCCCACACTTCTGGAAGGAGGAAGGAGCTGGAGCCAGGGGTGGCTTTATGGGTGGGAAGGACTGGTTGATATGCTCTGATCCTGTGAAATTGCAGTGAAAACTTGTGCATGTAGGATTTGAGGGGCTGAAGGGTTTGTGCCCAAGGGAAGTCCCTGTCCCCCACATCACTGAGGAAGGTCCTTGTGTGCTGGTTGTGAGTTCAGCCACTCCACAGCCTTTCTCTGGTCTCTCTCAGGTGCGTGAGCTGAACGACACACAGTTCCCTCACACCTTCCTGGTCTCGGGAAAGCAGCGGACGCTGGAGCTGCAAGCCAGGTAAGGGGAAGAGTGACAGTCCTGTAGACCCTCGGGGAGGAGGGACAACAGCTTATCCATCTCCGTTTTTGTACCCAGGTCTGGGGAGGAGATGAACACCTGGATCAAGGTACCAGTGAGTGCTGGGAGAGACATCACATCTCACTCCAGCTGGATGCCTGGGCCCCCAACTGGGCTGATCCCCCACTGCCTATGTCGGGGCAGCCCCCCCCAAACAGCCCTGCCATCCCCTCTAGGCCTTCCAAGATGCCATTGACAGGAAAGAGAAGAGGAGTGAGACTTTTAAGACAGCAGTGCATGGGCTGGAGATGGGCACCTCTGCATTGAACGTAATCCTTCTGCCCTCCCTATGTCTTGCCTGTCACCAGCACCCCACTGTACAGAAGCTGAGGGAGAGCCCACCTTGTTGTGCCTCAGTTTCCCTTAGCTAAAGAGAGCTGGGAGGAGGCTGCGATAGGGAGAAAGGCTGAGAAGGGGAAGGGGTGAGAGCAGAGGAGCTGGGATCACCTGGACCACGGCTAGCCAGCCCCGGCAATGTCATCTCCCACCCCCAGACAGAGGAGCTGGGCCGCCGAGCTCCACAGTGGGTGCGGGACAACCTGGTGACCATGTGCATGCGCTGCAAGGAGCCCTTCAATGCCATCATGCGCCGGAGACACCATTGTCGAGCTTGTGGATACGTGAGTCACCCTCTCCCTGCTCTCTTCCCTCCCTCCTGGACTGGGAGGGCTGCTGGAGCAGGAGCACACCTCTCTTACACCTTGTACCCCTTCCCTCGGGCTCAGGGCTGCTCCTGCCCCTCAGCTCCTCATGGAGTTGTCCCTGGGATCCCCCAGCCCTGCCCCAGTCTCACCAGTGTCCCTGTCTGGTGGTTGTAGGTGGTGTGCGCTCGCTGCTCCGACTACAAGGCCAAGCTGCAGTACGATGGGAACCGCCTGAACCGGGTATGCCAGGAGTGTTATGTCTTCCTGACGGGCCACGTGGTGCTCGAGGAGCGGGAGGGGAAGCACAAGGGCATCCTGGAGGTGAGCTCTGCCCCTTTCTGCCTGTCCCCCCCACCATGCCCTGCCCCTCTTGCTCTGAGCTCTGCCACCCATCCTGGTCCCCAGCTTCACAGTCACAGCCCAGCCATGCTCCCGCAGCGGTCGGAGGGTGCCTGCTAATTGCGAGGCTGGTGGACATGCTAAGCCCCCTCCCTCCCACTCTGCGAGCCTTGGGAGCAGGCGTCTGGGGCTCCCTCCGCCTCGGGATGTCAGCAGGACCCTGACAGCCAGGACCGCCCCTCGCCTGCCCCTGGTTTGGGGGAGGTTTGTGGAGCAGGCAGGGAATTCCCCAGGAAATGACCTTTGCCCAGTGCCCTCTCTACCTCCCACACTGGGTATTTAAAGGATTTGTTTGGGGTTTTTTCAGCAGAAAGGAGCTGCAGAGGTATCAGGCAAGAGTTTGCTGTGCAGTTCCTTGCAGCTGCTGCACAAGAACGGCAAGGAGGGCACACGGGGCTGGTTCGTGATCCCGCAGGACGATCCCCTCGCGCTGTACATCTACGCGGCCCCCCAGGTAAGGCCGAGCTCGGTTCCATCTGCAAGGGACAGCCCGGTGTGCCCGTCCCCTGCCTCCCACTGCTATCTCTGCTCTTGGCAGGACGTCCGAGCCCACACCTCCATCCCACTGCTGGGCTACCAGGTGAGGGACCTGCCCCAGGGCGACCCCCCCGCCACTTCTTCCAGCTGGTGCAGTCCCGGCAGGTCTACACCTTTGCGGCCGACACCGAGGAGCTGAAACGGCGCTGGATGAGGGCCATGGCGCGCTCCGCCGCGGGGATCACGCACCCAGAGGAGGGTGAGGATGCGGACTCCTGTGACGAAGCAGAATGAGGACATGTCCACCTCCTGGGATGTCTGGTGGGTGAAACCTCCCCCTGCTCGTGGCCAGCCTCGGGCAGATCCCCAACTTCTCTGCGTTTTGGTTTTTTCGGCACAAAAAGGACAAGGCAGGGG